GTCATCGCCCCTGCGGTCCCCCCGCCCCAAATCCCGGTGTGTTTCGGTGGGCTGCTTACGGCGCTCCTGGGAGCAGAAAGTCCCGAGGTGCTCGCCTGCCCCTAGGAGGGGCGTTGGGCTGCCTCGTCCCTGCAGAGGTCCGTGGTGGCCCCTGAAAACTGGGGCGCCTTCCTCCCTTGGGCAGCGCGGTTAGCCAGGGCAAGCTCTCTGACTCGTCTGCACGGCTCATCGTGCTGCTCTCTGGTCGTCAACTTCTTTCCATAGCGAGGGGGGAAAGTAGAAGTGAAATTTGTGACTTCGTTAATTCACTTTCCGGTTCAGGATCTTTTGCTGTCTCTGAAATACGCTTCCAGACTGTGGGCTTTGATTCCGGCATCTTGCTCACCCACTTCAGCGAAGTGGATCAGACTTTTGCCAGAGCTGAAACTATTCGAGGGGGTCTCTGAAACTGTGCAAGATCCTAGTTATCTTCCCTGTCTTTAAGAGCAGGAATAACTTGACAGACTGACTCTCCTATTTTAGTGACTGAAATTCACATCCATGCAGTGTGTGACTGGATCTTCTGGGACACATTACAAATACTGAATAATCCTTAAAGTAAGGGCCCTTCATAGGCCAGATTCATAGCTGCTTTTGGTGTTCTACAGCATACTTTGCAGTTCAAAGTGAAATTCAGTTGTACTCTAGGTAATCTGACTTGTAAAGCTGTGTGAGAAACATAACCTGTTTATGGGGGTATTTCAATACTTGATAGATGGAAGCAAAACTTCTCTGTGACTGCTGTAACTCATCTGTTACTTGCTTGTATGATCCACATACAGTGGTTAATCTCATTACAGGCATTACCTTGTGGCATGTGTGTGTTAATGTGTGCAAATATGACTGTAAAATGTTAACAACACACCTTTGTCTTTGTTCCCTGTTACTTTGTGGGGAAAAGTTTTACTTGACCCTGGGCAGAATATTAACATACTCCATTTGATATTGTCATACTTATGAGAATGAAAACTGCTTGGCTCTTTGACAAGTGTAGCAGAAAGCCTCAAAAATGACAGTCCTTTTGAGGAATGACTTCTAGCTTGCCTTTCTGTTGCCTTCACTTCTGCAGGTTCTTCTGGAACTTAAGTGTCATATGAAACCATCAATGCAAAAAGTGCTTCTTGCAGATTTAGTTCAGCCTGCGTGTGGACATAGGGTGACAGTGTGTGTTCTCGCTATGTGGTGCTGCAATACCCCTCTCCTTTTACAGGGTTCATATGGGGAGAGCTGTTAGTATTTTGTCCGGGGAGATATATGTGGGAAAATAATTGAGTAGTATAGGCTTGTTGAATGCCTGGTGTCTGCAGCCTGTTTCACTGTTGGATGGGTAACAAGTCTAAACTAGTATAAAGGAGAGTAATTTTCTGCAGTGGGAAAGTCCTAGGCTCTGTGTGGTTCAGGAATGCTAACTTTGGAGTAAGCTGAGCAGGGGGAGCCCTATGTGAGCGTCAGGCATGGCATTAGATATCATGAACTTTGTGAGTTTAGTGGAATGACTTTTGCAAATTGAGCTGAGATTAGAGCTGACATGAGCACTTCAATCTTCCATGTGTTTTCAAGATTTGGACAGCAATGACGGCTCAAATTTCAAACTTGACTCCATTGTGCTAATAGAAGATCTAATCTGATTAAAGATATTGGTGGTGTATTCTTCATCTGATTTACACATCCTAAACTAGAGTTTCAGTGTCTTGTTGACTGTTTTTTCTTTGTCCTGGCTCACCAGTTAAGCCCAAGTGGGTGTATTTCTTCTTTAAAAAAAAAAACCAAACCAACCCACACCACCAAACCAAAAACAAAAAAAACAACACACAAACAAACAAACAAAAAACCACGGAAAAAACCCCAACCAAAACCATTAATCCACCAGTCGGTAACTCTTTAATAATTCTACAACAAACTGCTGTACCTCAAAGCCTGTCTCTTGCATGTGCCCTACTTTGTTGCTGAAACGAAACAAAGTAATTGGAAAACAAAGTTTTGGATTTCTAAATTCTTATAATAAAATGTAATTCCTGTGTGCAAGAATGTGGACGTCCTAATCCCCTTGGTCAGTGGGGCTGATCACGAAAGGGTTGTTGGTTTCAAAGTCTGGTGATTAGATGAAGTGGGTAAGAGGATGCCATAACTCATATGCTTCTCTCACAGGCTGTGTGAGATTCAAGACCTGAAAAAATGGCGTTGGCAGCAATTGATCCACAGCAGGTATGTCTGAGTTGGCCCCATATTTTTTATGTCTAGTTCAGAAAAACAGGAGTCAACTAACCTCTTTCTCTTTTAAACAGAACATTGTATCGAGGATTGTCAACCTTCCCTTGGTGAGCTCCACCTATGATATGGTGTCCACAGCTTACATTACCACAAAGGATAACCATCCTTATCTGAAATCAGTATGTGAGATAGCAGAGAAAGGAGTGAAGACAATTACTTCAGTAGCCATGACAAGTGCTATGCCTATCATCCAGAAGCTGGAACCACAAAGTAAGGCGAAGATGGAGCTGCTGATAACTTTAATTCAGCTGATTGCTTTATATATCCAGATGCAGTTACAGTTTAGCATGATTGTGCTGTTTTCGAGTGCTGTTTCAGTTGGCTGACTGCACCTGTTGCCTGGTGTGTTGAGATTAGATGGGTGTGATTTAACTACAAAAAAAAAAAATCCAGAGCCAAAGCAGTTTCCAGCTTTCATAATGCTGACTGACTCATCTTGATATGCGAGATGGTTACGTTAGTCTCTTGCTCAAGAGGTTCCTCACCTTTCACCTGGTTTCACATGCTACTTTTATTCTTTCCCTCACGGGGAACAACTTGTGGTTAAATTTGGCAACAGTGTCACAAAGCTGTTGTAACAGGAGCCTGGTTTCACAGTGGCAGAAGGCTAGGTGCTTCAGCTTGTGCTAACAGTTGCTTGTAAATTATCGAATGGATTTTCTCTGCTTGCAAGTGAGCTTTTTGTCTGGCGCTATAAACCTGCCTTGCTCTTGGGCTTTGTGGCGTCAAATCTCACTGAAAAGGGGAGGAAACTACTTTAAAAGTGCTGTTGCATGAGCTCTTTTTCAAGAGGAAATCTCAGTTGGAGTTATTTATACTAAGGAAAAACCCTTAAAATTAAAACCAACTATTGTAATTTCTTTTATAGTTGTAGTTGCCAACAACTATGCATGTATAGGTCTAGACAAAATTGAAGAGAGACTGCCTATACTGAATCAACCCACTGACAAGGTAAGTTCTTTCCATGTACGTATGCTAAGCAGAAGCACTATATACCGTTCCTCTTTTGTATTATCACTAAAAATGTAGGGAGAAAGATTTCAAGAAGCCGTGCCTGAAGCACAGCTTATAAGTAATGAGGAAGCGAAAAGTGTTCCTGTAGAATTGTTTGTTGCCTTTGGGGGGCCATTAAGCCTCTTTTTAAATTTGCCCACTATTGGACACATCTGTCTATGGCTGCTGTTCACTGGTGGGCATCTTTTTTCAAATTTGAGTCCTTTTTTCTTTCCTGCTCAGTGTGGAGCAAATAGTGCCTGAGTTACACTCACTGAAGTGTTTTAAGCTGAAGGCTGTGTGGCAGTCATATTTTGTTTTGTCTTGTATGTATGTTTTCAGGGCAGAATTTCTCCTGGATAGCCAATACTTCTACAAGCTTTAGCATAAATTTATATTCCTGGATTATGTAGCTCTCACTAGAAAATATTTTTAGTGAATCAACCTGTTTCCTATGGTAGGTTGTTGCCAATGCCAAGGATGTAGTTGTTGGAGCCAGAGAAGCTGTAACAACCAGTGTGACTGGTGCCAAGGAAACTGTTGCTCACACAATCACGGGAGTTGTGGGCAAGACTAAAGAAGCAATGCAAGACAGCGTAGAAATGACCAAGTCAGTTGTCAATGGCAGCATTAACACTGTCCTCGGAAGTCGTGTGGTGCAAATGGTGAGCAGTGGAGTGGACAGTGCTCTCACTAAATCAGAGACCCTTGTAGACCAATATCTTCCACTTACAGAAGCAGAACTAGGTAAGACCAATTAAGGTTTGATTTTGTTGGAATTGTATTGGAGAGAAGCAAACAATCATCCACTTATTACTTGCTCATAGTGGGGAGGGGGCACATGCTTCCCAAACTGCTTTTTGCCTTGCTAGTTGTAATAGCATCTTCACAGGGAAGCAGAGTGAAAGTAAGGATTTCCACATATGGTGATCTGTCAACCTACCTTGGTGCTAAAGGACTACTAAACAAGTCCAGTATTCGGCCATTACTAAGCAAATAAAATTGCCTCAGACCTCTTAAGTTTTCTTTCCATGGTCAATTTGCTTCCTTTCTGCATATCTAGAGAAAGAAGCTGCAAAAGTTGAAGGTTTTGAAGTTGGAGTTCAAAAACCAAGCTACTACGTTAGACTAGGATCCCTGTCTTCAAAGGTCCGCATACGTGCCTACCAACAAGCCTTAAACAAAGTTAGAGATGCTAAACAGAAAAGCCAGGAGACAATCTCTCAGCTCCACCACACTGTTAGTCTGGTAAGTTTAAGCTTTCACTTGAGGTATAAGAAGGAAATGGTCGCATAGTTTTAAAGTGTAGGAAACAACCAAAAGAGGCATAGGAAAACTGGAATTGTGCTCTCAGACTAAATGCATTTTCTAAATATAAAGCATTTCCCATTCAGAGCTTTCCGTTGCCATTCAGGAGAGGTCCTAAATCAGGGTAAGCTGTAAACTAACTAGCAATTGCTTGTAATTTTAAGCACTGCAGAAATAGAAGTGACATGATTAAAGTTAGATTCCTCTTGACACAGACTTCATTAGGTGAAGAAAATTTCTTGCAATTTAGAAACACTTCAGCCCTTTAAGTCCTTTTGGTTAATAAAATCCCAGTTTCTGTATGGGCTTGCTTTTCTTGCTGTGGGTATCTCTGAGCATTCCTGGGTACTTCAGGAGACTTCTCCTAACAATGTACCTTTATGTACAGGACAAACTGCACATAAAGAGTCATGGCCTTCTATACACTTTCAAATCCTTGTGTAGGATGCTAGTAGGGGAGACAGAAATAGTTGAGACAGAGGGATACACTACACATCTCAAAACTGCTTCCTGTTCCTTTGAGACAGAACACACTTATATTCCCCAAAGTCTTTTATACTGAACTCTATTGTTCAGTATAAAAAGTATTTTAAAAGCAAGTATTTTAAAAAAGGAGGTTACAAAGCAGGTAAGATAGGGTATCCCTAATGGAACTGTTTGGACTCTTTGCTTTAATTCCTTATTTGGCTGTATTTCAGATTGAGTATGCCAGAAAGAACATGAATAGTGCCAATAAGAAACTTCTTGATGCTCAGGAAAAGCTTTATCAATCCTGGGTAGAATGGAAGAAAAATACAGGCCAAAATGATGGTGATGAACCGCATAGCGCTGAGGTAAATAGATGTAATGATGTAAACCTGAAATAAATGGGTTGTATACTGTCAAGATAATGGCTAACTGTCCCCAAAGTGTGCAGTGTCTTAACAGCACAGAAGCTATATGCAAATGCGGCATCTGAATGTTGAAGCTCAGGGAAACTGACTAGTGACTACTATGAAAAGTAGGGGACACCCAGACTCTTAAATGAGCCTACTTCTGCAAACACTCTGGGGTTCATTCTTCTTTCAAGAGAACGCTCATCCTGTTTAGCATGTGAACCTATGTTGGGATATCCAGATCCAGATCAGCTAGGACTCACTTTTCTATGGCAAGAACAGAAGTAACAGCATAAAGCGGTCTCAGGCATAGACTCACTGAGTCTTATATGTAGCTTTAAACAGTGGTTCATTGATTAGCATATACTTTGCTGCTGTGACTTGTTATCCAGAGTTGAAACAAGAGCTTGCTTATCTGTCACTGGGTAGAAGCTACCAATATTTCTGTTCCATAAAGTACTTGAGCATTGAAGAAATATCAAGTACTTTCAAGTCTCTTGACTCTTCAGACTTAAGACCTGTTTTATCTGCTACAGCTTTATTTTACTTACATCCACTTTGCTGCTTTATGTATCTTGAGCAACATAAAGCTGCTACAATCATAAAAAGATACTAATGTGCTGTTATGCTTTTTGTTTCCAGCACATTGAGTCAAGAACTCTAGCTATTGCACGGAGCCTCACTCAGCAGCTTCAGACCACCTGCCTCACACTGGTCTCAAGCCTACAGGGGTTGCCACAGAATGTGCAGGATCAGGTTTACAGTGTTGGGTCAATGGCAGGTGATGTCTACCAGAGCTTCTGGTCAGCATCCTCCTTCCAAGAATTATCAGACAGCTTTCTTACCACTAGCAAAGGACAGCTGAAGAAAATGAAGGAGTCTCTGGATGATGTGATGGATTATCTTGTTAACAACACGCCGCTGAACTGGCTGGTAGGTCCCTTTTACCCCCAACTGCCTGGCATTCAGCATGCTGAGAGCAAAGGTGAAGGGGAGAAAAATTCCAGTCAGAAAGACAAACAGCCTGAACACACTGCTGAATAAACTTCATAGCATGCATGTACTCTGCTGACTGACCAAACAAGTGGCCTTAGCAAGTGTAGCTGTCAAAAAAGTGTTTGAGAAAAAATGCATAAACATAGCAGTGGGGAATGATACAGTGAAGGGACACTCTCACACATGGGCTGCATTGTCCTGTGTAGTTAAGCCACTCTTAAACTCAAACTGTCTCGAATGCCTAACTGTTGGCAGCTTACAGTTGTCGAGATGCCTTGTTTGTCAAGTTAAGAAACCTCACCATGCTTGTTAATGGCATTAATGTTAGTCTAAATGAAACCTACCATAGCTAAAAGCATTTGATTTGTTGCTTAATATGTACTGGAATGATGTAAAAGCCTTACATATTATGAAATGTATTTAAAAGCCCTGCAGTCTGCTTAAATTCCATGTTTGCTGCAGATAATACATTTGATTATTATGGATTTGACTGTTTCAAATTCTACTGCTATGCAATTCATAACAAAAGTTCTGCGAGTGCAGAATTTCAAAGCTGAAAGTGGGGTTTCTGCATGAGTCAGCTGGAGTTACTTAAATGCTGTGACAGTGTTAACATTAACTATATGAACTTAACTATTGTGTAACACAGTAACCTGACCACAGAATTGTAGTGTCTCAAGTTGAAAGGGACCCATAAGGATCATCAGGTCTAAGTCCCTGCTCCTTGCAGGACTACATAAAACTAAACCATATGACCAAGAGCGTCATCCAGGCGCTCCTTGAACTGACAGGCATGGTGCTGTGACTGCTTCCCTGGGGAGGTTGTTCCAGTGATCGACTAAATCATTATCAATAATTTTTTTTAATATGCAGCATAAAGACAAGATTCATGCTGTTTGTACCCAGGTGCCTGTTGTTGTGTAGCTCGTTTGTATGTTTTTTGTAGCTATGTCTTTGTAATTCATTTTGTACGTTAGTAATAAATGCTTCAGTAGCCAAAGTCTGTCTCCATTTCAGTGGTGTTTAAAACAAATATAACTTGCTGTTCTGGGACCCCTTCAAACTGGGTCCAGCAGAAAGCAAATGAACTAGACATGCATAGAAAAGGTATGTGTGTGTGTGTGTATAGATAGGTAAGATACTGTTGCAGCATTTCCTTCTTCCTTCGAGTTCCTGCGCATCCTTCCATTCAGTCTTGGCTTTACTGCTGCTTATTTGGTGCTTGCTGTTGTCTACCTTTAATGATGACCGAAGCTGTGAGCTGATGTATGTTCTAATATAAAGAGAAGGATGTGGACAGAAAAAACCCTTGTCCTGCCTTTGCAGTAGGTGTTCTGTATGCATGAGACTGCTGGCTATCTGCTTTGGTTGCTGGCTCCCTATAAACAGTATATATTCCTCAGTTGCAGACGCTATGTTTAACCTGTTTAACTTTATTTACCCTCTTTTGAACCTGAGTGACTAGTGTACATTAACACTCAGCTGCTTGGGTGGAATTGTTCCTCAATAAATCTTGTGAGCCCCTCCCCTGGAAGAGAATTACAGTCACTAAGAAATAAGCTTTCTTGGTTTAGGGCTGTCCAGGTAAGCTGTGTCTGTTCTTAATGCATGTCTTGTGGAACTTTGAGTTGTAATTTTTTTGTGTAGCAATATTGGCCACCGTTTTCAAAGAGGTCACCAAATAGTGTGAGGCAAAAATGGAGTTCAAAGGAAGCTTGTCACCTAGTGACATGTTACATGGAACAATACCTTCACCTGGTATAATATGGGCACTAAAGCAAATCACATGTAGTATGGCCTTCTAATGTGCGAGGGCTTGCTCAGCTGTTAAGTCAGGGTTGGTCTAGAAGTGTTAGGAAGACTGTATTTTAAGCACAATATTAAGTGAAATCCTAACAACAAAAGATTACAGATAAATATTCTGTAACTAAAATAATCTTTGTAAGGGAACTGTTTCACATGAAATTAACGTGAGATGGTGAATCTCCATTTGTAACAAAATTTGTAGAGTGCATCTACTGTTGTAGAGGTGCTGGGGAACAGAATGGGACTAATTGGGTCTGGGAGCAGCTGGCAGTTCAAAGAAGGGAATTCCCATTGTTTGTATGTATTTTAAAATCTGGAGGTTGTGGGCCTTCATTCTGAGGTCATCAATCAAATAAGGTATTCAAACTGTTCACTGTTTATTGAGGACTGAGAAGTAAGTGCCACCATCTAGTATTGATGCAGGAGCAACACATATCTCTCTTCTGCCTTAAGCTGCACTACTGTTTTGTAATCTTTTAGATTGCTATCCAGCTTTACTAAGCAAGGAGAAAATCGCTAGCTTAGACCTTTAAATCATTTATCCCTCACCATGCACTACTGAGTGCCTTCTGTGTAAAAGTTACTTTGACTTCTGACAGCTGACCTACAACTGGTGGCCACGAAGAGAGGCATGCCTGGTTAAATGCTTACCTGAATGTTGGGCTAATAGCCTGTCATTCCAAAAATTCTGTACACAGGTTCCTGTATCATGCTATTGTGGTGTGTTGTTGTTCCTTGGATCTTGCTACCCTGAAAGTGTATGTTTCTATCTGCGCTGCCCTGCCCTGCCCCCTATAGAAATAAGAACCCTTCCTTGGAGGAGAAGAGGGCTGAGTAACAGCAAATCAGTATGTTCCTGGTTTATTATATGGAATAAAAATCTCTAGATTGAAATTACTAGACTCTCCTAATGAGGACAGCACTGAATGTTTAAACTGAATTACAACTTTAGCTTGCATGGGTGTCTTCTCGCTGGTAATTCAGTACAGCATATCCCTAGACTCTATTCTAATTACAAGTCTACAGACAAAACTTGGTATTTTTCTCTAGCACAGTTAGAGAAAGTGGTATTAAAATGCCCACTGGAGGCAAGAATGATGTGGACACCTTCCAAAGCCATTTTTGGGTTTTTTTTTTGCCACAGTGGACTGAAGCTGAAGTGCTGAAAGCTTAGAAGATAGAAGGAGGAAAACCTAAGATACTAACAAGAGCAGAGCCTGCTCATAAATTTTTCCTGCCATCTTACCTGTTTCTCTAAAATTGCGTGTATCAAACAGCTCAGCTGCACTGCACAGAAACTTGCTTGTTCTTAGTCCAAAACCACTTTTGAGGATATAGCTTGGAGTAGAAAGATGTGAAGTCTCTCTGGAACTCTTTAAAAACTACAAGACCAGATATGTGGAAAATTACAGGAAATAGTTGATTTTTTTTTTTTTTTCAGCAAGGCAGATAACCAGATGAAATGTAACAGTGTCAAAGGCTGCTAATCACACAAACTGCGATGGTAAAGGTTAGAATACTAACAAAGTAATTATCAGTGGTAAGGTTATTTAGGGTTTACTTAGAATTCAGAAAATGATTGTTTCTCTTTTAAGAGATCACTCAAAAATCATTCATGCTAGTTGAAACTTCCCCCTTTCCTGGCTCATTTAACAGAGTTCTATTATTCTATCATGGTTGCTAATCCTTTGCTATGGAAGTTTTAAATAGGAGCATTCATAAATAGCTCCATATGGTATAAAAGTTGTGCAAACATATTTATAGTAGCATACATATTGTTTAAATCCACATTACAAGATCTGTGTACGGGCTTGACTTGCAGGGATATAGCTAGTTTGCCTCAAACTAAAGAAAGGTCGAAAGCTTTTGAAATCTCTCCCATTTGTTAAGACAGCTTTTGCAGTAATCTTTTCCAAAATGCAAGTTACAGTAGTACTATATAGCTAGTAAAATAGGTGAAAGGATTTGGAAAAAAATGATGAATTATTTATCTTTATTTAAAAAAAAAAACCCAAAACCAAACAACCAAAACCCACCCAAAAACTTACCTAGGCCATCTAATCAAAAAGAGAAAACAGAACCTAACTTATTTTTAAGCGCAACCTGTTGGTCATTTGCATCATCTGAAAGTCTTACATGCAGCAGCTCGCTGGAGGCATTATGCATAGTGTTTTGTTAAACGTATTTGTTTCACACTAGGACAAATTTTATTTCTTTTGGATAATACGAGTCTCTGATGACTAAAAATAAGTGCTTGTTCTGAAAGTGTACAAAATAAGAACAGTCTCTCAAATTGCTAGTGACTCGGTTCTGAAAATAAATTAAGCAAGAAAAAACAGATTAAAGTTAAGTTAGTATTGACATTAACATTTGTATATGAAGGCTGCAAAACACTGAAGTATGTTTTGCACTATTCCATGCAAGGATTTTGCAAGTTTTGCACTATTCCGTGTAAGTGATCCAACTGTGTCTTACAGAGAAATGGCAGGAAGAAGAGTCATATCTGGCGTTATTCTTTGTTGCAAGAATTGACTTCCTGCTTTGTTTCAACTTCCTATCAACTGTAAAAAGTGATACAGAAGTGAAGGTCCTTTACCTAAGCAAGCCCGTAACACTAAGGGCTTTGCATTGCTTTAGTTAGACTGGTGCAATGTCAGAATATGCTACTCTAACACAATTTACCATGTTCAAAACTGAGATAAATCATCCTGACATCAACCCTGGTTTACTCTACACTCCAGTTTGAAATTCTTTCATGGCTGTGAACATCTTACTAGTATTAGTCAGCTACCTATAATGTGTGCATTAAGGAGATGAAGAAAGCACAAACTTAAATTCGAGCAATTATCCTGTTGTCAGTAAGAACAACATGGATACAAGAAACAAAAGTGTCTTAAACCTAGGACATAGTGAAAATTATCACTGGTCAGATGCAGTTACTGAATGTGGCCATGTGCCCTGCTCAGTGTAAATACAGAATAAAACAACTTATTTAAACCATCCGTTTGGGCACATTTTTAAACAAGTTTGCATATGGACTACTCAGCCTTAGTCTTCTTAAGATATCCCTGTTTGTACTGCAGTATGAAATAGAGTCCTGTCCTGATAATGGAAAAAGTTGATTTCTCTAAGTGCAGTAATTAGTTTTAGATAAACTCCCATAAGCAGAAAGATGCAAGATAATTCTTGCTAGTAGAAAGATGTTTCCCCCATTCCTAGTGCCTTTTGATTTTTTAGGAGACAAAAGTTACTGACCTCATTTTGATCAAGCTTAAGTTCTCAAAGTGGTTATGCATTTCATTGTATTCACATTAGCACCTGATAAGTGACATGCTGCGTAAATTCTTCTGAAGCTCAGTTTTAATCAATATTTTAATTACTATTTTTTAAGTCTCTGGTGCCCTGTGGCTACCTGTGCTCTAAGGAAGGGGGTGATTCACGTTCAGTGCCTCAGTGCTGTCTACAGCCTGACAGCTGAAACAGCAATCCCTTTATCCTTTGATGTGTTCTCTATTCTTCTGACATGTCTTCATAACAGGCAAAGCATAGATTTGTCTTGCAGACTGTCTTTCATAAAAGTAAGTCATAAACAAGGTGTTTTGCAGTTAGGGAACGGATTAAAACTGCTTCTCCAGTCAGCCCTGAGCTTAAGTTACACAAATGCCTAGAAGCCTCTTCAAGTTGCTGCTTCTTTGTACATGCAGAACCAAAGTCCTGCCGGCATGCAGCAATTGTTATGTGCTGATGCTTTGCCTGGCTCCAAGTATGTAACGTCACCATCATTAAAACTAACGATGAGTGAAAGTATAGATGTAAGTATTTTTCACTTGGGACAAAAATCTTTTGGTTATGAGTAAATTGCCTAATTATATCCCATTTTTCAGAAGTGCCTAAGTAATCTAAGTCCTACTAAGGGGACTTAAGGGTTGGGACTTAAGCTCCTAAGTGTCTTAGCCAACATTTTTAGAAGTGTGTAACATCCATATATCCACTAATGTCTCTGGCAATTCGTGAAACCTGGTGCTGCTTAATAGTACAGAATACTATACATGCAGTTAAGGCAGAGGCCAAAGTGGGATTGCATTTCCAGATATTTGTTTCCTCAGGAAAGGTTTGATATGGTAGGCAGGCAGAGCAATACAGAGCCATCTGTATCAAGCTCCTCAGGACAGTTTCCATGGAGAGAAGAGAGGCAAAATAAGTTTTAAAACTTCCTTTCTTAATTTTCCTGTCACCAGTGAATACACTCCACTCTGTTCAGCTCTGTTCCATCTCCACAACAAATTCCTGTCTTCTATGCAAGTAATCTACACTGTACATAGTATTTAGTGTGTCTTAATGCTATGTTTCATATGTGACTGAGCATATTTCACTCTGTATTCATTATTTTGGGTCTGATTTCTAGGGATGCTGAGCACCTTTGTCTCTTGAATTTAGTGAGGAGTACTGCACAAATTTATTTAGTTTTAAATTGACTGAAATTTCATTCCTACACAGGTTCCAGATTTCACTATTACAGACCTGTCTTCAGAGTCAGATGATATCCCAGACATTTTGGATTTGGATGAAGATGATCAACAAGACTTTTCACGCACAAATGGCCCTTATACTACAGGGCAAAGAGCTGAATAAAGAGAAGCATAAAAATGTCTTTTTGAGACAATGTACTTTTGCCATGTTTAACTTAGATTTTTTCCTTTTAAAGATGAACCTGCCTAGCTTAGGGATTTTGGGGATATTTTTTTTCATCAGTACTGTTTCACTTAGCTGCATCAAAATTCTGATTTTTTTTTCTACCTAAGGAATGCATGCTACATTAATTCATTAGCATGGGTGTCAAGCTCCCATTCAACAAGCCAGGTATAGCCTAACCAGTGTGTCCAGCTGATCTAACCTTTGTTAACGATTTGTTCTCCTGCTGGCAGCAGCCATGAGAACACGCCAGTGCTTTGCATAAATGACTGCCAACAAAAGGAGTTGATGAGGATTTGCCCATAAAATTTCTCCTTTCCGTCTACATGAACAGCATTTCTGCATCTACCTCTTTGCTGCTGGAAGGGGTAAGACACTGTCTCAGATTCTCTTGGGTTCTTTTTGTTAGGCTCTGTACCTACAGAGCTTAGAACCTTAGAGCTTCCCTTTGGCAAGAGAGCTTTATGCACAAAAGGGCTCCCTTTCTACATGCCTTCTGTGTGCAAAAATTTTGGCCAGTGTGATGCTACCAGCTGCGGGGCCTGAGACTAGAAAAGGGTAAATGCTTAAAAAGGAAAGTTTTGCAGTAATAAGGATGACAGTTAAAAAAGAAAGTGGAAGAGACTGTAACAAGTAAGGAAAAATGGAGGGCAAAGAGATACAAACACATCGGACAAAAGAAAATTGCAAAAAAAAAGAGAACTGAAGGTAGAGATAGTTCTGGCGAGAGTCATGATCTCTTTATATTTAAATAAAATCTCAATCAAATATTTACTGAGGAATGTCGAATCCGCATTTGCTAGCACACAGCGACTTCTGTAGGAGCTGGGGTGAAAGGGAAAAGGACTGCAGGGAGGCTTCATTCCTTCCCGAGGACCAGGCTGAACTCCTCCCGCAGAGGTCTCCTCCTCGTCGCCGGGGTGACGGCAGCAAGTCTGGAGGTGTTGCGCGGTGCTGCTGTCCTACACGCGCGGAAACACCGCTCAGCAGCCGCCACGGCTGCGGGCTCGGCGCCTCCGCTCTCTCCTCGTGTAACACGTGGCTGTTGTGAAACCTGTGAAGTCTAGTCACTGAAATGCCTTGGAATAAAAGTTTGAACCGCACAGCCTGCTGCCGGTGTGAGTTTTACTTGGCTTCCGTGTCAAATTTTGCAACCCGAGTACAAAATGATTGAAATTCGAAGGGCCCTCTGGAGGGCGGCCCCCGCTGCCACCAGCT